TAGATATGAAGCAAGGACTCTATGTCTGCTTTATAGATTATTAAAAGGCTTTTGATAGAGACATCATGACGACATCAGAAACTCGTGAAATTATTAAAAGAAAAAAAACGTGGATAGTCGAGATATACGGATTATTGTCAATCTGTACTGCACTCAAAATGCAAAGTTAGAATCAAAAATGTCAAAACAGAAACTATAAAAGTCAACAAAGGTGTTCGGCAGGGTAGCGTGCTGTCCCCATTGTTATTCAATCTGTAAAAGAGCTGTACTATTCTATTCTGATTCTATTCTATTTTTGAATCTATTCAAGCTATTTTTAAGGAAACAATATCAAAGAAACAACAGGATATAATCAACAGGAAAAAATATTGAACAACATAAGATTCGCATTGAACAAGTCAGTATAAAATATGGACTACAAATGAACGTTAAGAAAACCAAATGCATGATTATTTCTAAGCAAAATACAGTAGGAAGGCTAGATATCAAGAGAAAACAAGTAAAAAGTGTCTTCTTCTCGTGCCACTCCTAGCGGAGATTGGAAATCCTCATGGCCACTGCGACTTTGTTAGCAGCGCGCCTGAAAAGTTCAATCGAACTACACCCGAACCATTCACGTAGATTACGAAGCCACGATATTTTTCTTCTTCCCACACTTCTTTTGCCCTTAATCTTGCCCTGCATGATGTTTCTTAAAAGTTCGTACTTTTCACCTCTCACAATGGTAAAAAGTGTGAATAAATACAAATATCTGGGAACCTGGGTAAATAAATACACTGACCAAGGTACAGAATATTTATAAAAATTAAAAAAACAATGTTTGTTAATCGAGACCTTCCCCTGGAGCTGAGGATAAGAGCCTTAATATGCTACATGTTCTTGACTTTGTTGTATGGAATGGAAAGCTAAATACTAAAAGAGGGTAATATAAAGTTAAAATCATTTGAGATGTGGTGCTATAGAACTATTTTGAAAATATCATGGACCTAATGAGTTACAAATGCAGAAGTGTCAAGAAGGTCACAAAAGAACTGCGAGGTCATAAAGCACATTAAAACAAGAAAGCTGGAATATTTGGGCCACATTACCAGGGGTAATGTGAAATATAAGATACCAATGCTCATAATGTTGGGCAAATTCAAGGGTAAAAGGTCCATAGGAAGACGAAGAATTTCCTGGCTGAAAAATCTAAGAGAATAGTATGGTTGCAGCTCAGTACATCTTTTAGAGTAGCCGTCAATAAGGTACGGATAGCTGTCATGAAAGCCAACCTCCGATAGAAGAAGGAACTACAAGACGAATGAGGGTATTTCTTTAAATTTAATATTTTTAAGGTCTAATTTGCTACTACTTTGCTAATAAGGTCTGCTCGCGAGCTGCTTGATAACATCAAATGTAGAAAGATGGCCTATTTTGGACACGTAGTAAGAGGAGACCGATATAATATTCTTCAACTTATTATGATGGGTAAAATCGAAGGACGCAGAGGAATTGGTAGAAAGCAGGCCTCTTGGTTGAAGAATATCAGGGAGTGGACAGGAATACGGAAAGCTGAGCAACTCTTTTAGAATTGCTCGAGACAGAGACAGTTTCGCCATGTTAATCGCCAATGTCAAGGGGATTTGATAGGGCACGTTAAGAAGAAGAAGGTCTAATTTAATTGTGGTTATATTGTTGTAATTAAAGAAAATCAGTGAAAATCCAGAGAAATCGGGTGAGATCCTTTTTTCTTCCTTGTCAATTTGGAAGAGGTTCTATTAGGTACTTTTACTTATATATTGTGTTGCAGTCTTAGTAACCAGGACTACGTACATCATGAACAGCACTATTTACATCTACACAAAACAACTCCAATTTCAATCCAAAATCGTTGTCGCTGCCGCACTCTCTACGCCTCCTTTACCTTCGTTTCCTAAATAGGTACAAGCTATTGCCATATACTCCATTTCAAATACTGTGGTAGTTGAATATATTAAAGCAGTTGGTGAAATATTTCAACCAAAAAATATTCCTTTTTGGTTGATCAAATATTGAAAAATAAACTGCACGTTATAATTAATTCCACTTTTGTCCCTATCCGCAAAAATCGTACGATTTCTACCTGGCAAAATTATAACCTGGTGTATATTTTCATTTCGCATTCACCAATTGAACAGTCTATAAAAGATATTGACTTACATCTAGCAGCACCTGTTACTTTTATAAAATTCGGAACATCTGATGATCAATATGCACATATCATGAATTTTCGTAGGGCAAATAATTCCTTACAAGAACAACTTTAAAGTACAATTTTTCCTAATAATTAACCATAAAAATACACTCTCTAGAATATTTTTGTCCACTAATAGACTAGAATGTTTTATTGTTAGCTTACAAGACATACAGCAGAGCCTTGTTCTAAAGTTCCCAGCGAACCAGACCACACACTTAGTAACGCCAATGCTCCTTCCTCTTCTTCATTTTGAGTTAACTCCTTAACTTACACCAAAAGAAATTACATCTTCAGAAATTGACTCCTTCCCCGCTAACGACACACCCACCCTTGCCACATCAACTTCTCTCCCCCATTATCGATGCCACCCCAACCAGCCAAAAAAATGATCTTTGATCAGATAACTTAATGAAACCTAATGGTATTTTAGCTATAGAAACGGTTTGTAGAGATAATCTGGCTAATTTGACACTCAATTCCACTCAACTTATTGCTTTTCTTGAGAATTCTTTGAATGTCCCACCCCAGTACAAGAAGCTCAAAAATTTTCCTCCAACGTAGGTGTATTCAAAAGGACTTATCCCAGCTGTACACAGATACAAAGAAAAAATAACTAAAACTCCTTAATCCCTAAAAATAACTAAGAAAATAATCACGGCACACGTAATGAATAGTAATTACTCTTATTCTCTAGCATTTATTATTGTATATTTTTTATTTCTGTATGTTTTCACTTCATCCTTTGTCTCTTTTACGAATTCAAATTAACACATATTTAACAAAATTCAATACATTGAATAAAAAAAGTGGTTACGGGATTGGCTGTTCAGTCATCTCCAAAAAGTAATTACTCGTATTTTGAGTATTAGAGGCCAGTTCATGAAAGGTTCTTACTTAGATGAATTGATATGATGTATAATACAATTTTAGAATTCCCAATGTCGATTTATTCATCGTCTGTTTACTTTGTGAATCGTAAAAGGCACAGATTTAAGTAAGAATCTGAATTTTGGTTTCGGACAAGAATTGCGTTTTTAGCTTCTCTGAAAGCTCTTCATATCTCTCTATCTACACGCTAATATGCGACGTAACCTTTTTATTTACACTTTTTTCTTCTGCCCATTCTCTGTAATATACTTTTGACTATCCATGGTTTTATTCCTTGTTATTTTTGGTCGCAGGTATTAGGTTCATTATTTTTCTCCAACATTTTCTATTGATTTATTTCTGTGTTAACCTCACAAATTGCCTCTGACGTAACATGTTGTTTTTCAGATAATTTTCAGCGTATGTCTCTGCTTATTTCCTGTTAGTAGTGGTAGTTGCAAAAGGTGCCACCTATATTGATGACCGCGAACGAAATGCGATTAAATAAAATCTTTTTATGCTGTTCAAAAAAATGGCAAAGTTTGCATTTTAACAAAAGCGTTCTATCGCTTTGATGAATAGAACAGCCAAATATATATGGCGCATGAGCACAATTCGCCAAAAGCTCCGTGTATGAATCGTTATCACTAGCAAAGGTTGGGCACAAATAACGCGTTATAAGAATCTAATGATCTTGTTTTAGTACAATTTGAAAATTTACTACAGCCTATTTTAACTTTGAAGCACTTTTTGATTAAACTAATGCAATTTTGAGACGTTGCCGTTGTATATTGTACAATTTGTATGACGAGATGATGAACTGTAATAGACAAAATCCAAACCCATTTAAACGTCAAAATAGGTCCAATAGCAACAAAGATATGATATAGCGCGGTCTTGGCAATGTTGTCATGTTTGTTTATTTCTCTGCTAGCCTCAGTGACTACTATCCTTTCCTTTAACGTCTATTATGCTAAAATCCGATTATTAGCAATGAAGATCCGATATAGTGCCGGTTTGGCATTATCTTTGCGTTTGTTTTTTGTCCTAACATATTTGTTAGCACCACCTCTCCTTTCCATCGATATTTTGCACGTTGTTATTCATTAAGCTGTTTAGACGTTATAAGCTTAGTCTCCTTTTATTTATACGCCGGCCGCCATGTTTTTCTATATCTCAACGTGTTCGTTGGCTCTCCCCTTTCCGACGATACCTAGCACGTCACGATCTGACCAATAACAACGGCGATATGCTGTAGTGCCGTTTTGACAATGTCTTTTGTTTGTTTGTTTTTTGTGTTATCGTATTTGTTACCCCCTCCCCTATTCAACTAGCCATCGTAGGTTACTATCTGATAATCTGTCGCGCCTCCACCACAAAAACATCAAAAAATGACCAGAATGGACAGCGATTTCTTATGGGATTTAACATGGGGAAATATCCAGAACTCTTGTTGTCCCTTTACTACTATATTTCACTAAATAAAAATGAAATTGTTTGTTTTCGTGTTATATCTTGATTAAAATTAATTGATAACAAGTTTTACTATTGAATAGTATGTATGTGCAAAAATGTTTAAGGTTAAGTGTTGAGTATGTGTTGAAAAAAAAAAGAGAAATAATAATAGGTTCTTCGACACTTTTCTTGTGCATATATGGAGCGAAATGTACTTTAAAATCTAAACGGTTGTATTCTGCTAATATTGTGTTTTTTTTATATTATGGTAAGCAAATGTAATTAATTTTTTACACAATTATTTACATAGGTCAACATTTTTTAATTTAACCAATAATATTGTTTCAGCGCCGTGAATTATTAAAAATCGAAAGCTTACCAAAACACAGGGTCCAAACATTTCTAAGATTAATATTACAACACACATTTATTTTTTAGATATAAAAATTGATTAGTTACGAACCTAAGTGCTCCGTTGAAAAGAGTTGCCATAAATAATCCTAATAATCCTGGAAAAAAGCTGAATCGATCTCCGACGTAAAATGGAAGGATTTCATCCAAGTTTTTGATGTAACCGTAAGACAGAGGATCACAACTCTCATACACAGCATAAATCACCATGCCCACAACCCAAGCTAAACTGAATAGGACTGTTACTACTGGAATGTTATACATTAGGACCCTAAAAAATAAAGGTAAATCCGTCAAAAAAATGTTACATGATGTATAGCATGCGTTTTGTCTAATGGTGGTTATACACACAAAGAAAAACTAAATAACAAGGATTAATTTAAGAAGGGTTCAGTTATAATTAATTGGTTTAATTAAGTACTACTTGATGAACCATTCATAAATTTATTATGCTATTTGAAGTATAAAAATCATGCTCAAAATTGTTTATATTTTTATAATAATATCTAAAAGTATAAAAATATATTATTACAGTATTATTTGACAATTCGGTCGAATTTTATATCACCCTTACTGTACAAAAAGGGTGTACATATGTGGGAAATTATTAGTATAATTCAGTGTATGTGGATTGTATTATATAGGGCTGGTTCAATAAAATTAGGATAAGTAATAAAAGGTATACAGACAATAGCAAATTAAGTTTACAGAAAGTCTTACCAATATTTTTTTCTGCTCCACACTCTCACGGTGGTTTCCGGTCTTCACTCGTGGGTATTCTTCCCGCGAAATCTGTCCGATACACCGGTTTCTGAACACGTGTTTCGCAAATATATCACGATATAGAGCACACTTTGTCTGCACACGATTTAATACAGTATTTTTGATATTTCTCGCGTAACTAAAGCGGGAAAGAGGTTATTACGATACAAAAACAGCCAAGACAGATGCTGTTCTTCTTGATAAGCGAAGAGAGAGAACATGAAAGAGAGAGTACGACTGGCTCTAGCGATGGCCAGATCAAGAGAGAAAAGTCTGGCTCTAGCGATGGCCAAACTAAGAGAGTGAGAATGGTCTGTCCTTAGCTACGGGCGACCATCAAGAGAGTATCTTTCTTCTTTGCTATCTTAACTGTCTGTATTTCTAATGGAGAGGGGTAAAATGTAAGTAGGAAGGGTTATTAAGGGTGGGACTAAGATAATGATTGTAAAATTGTGATATAAGTATAGTTAATAATACAGCGAAAAATGACATAATTTTTTTGCATGTAAGAAAATTGAACACTTACTTACTTACCTACTTACTGAAGAACTGAAAGAGTTGCCCACGAGTAGGTTAAACAAGAAGGAGCTTTAACTGTCGCCTTGTCATTTATGTTCACGTTCGCCTTCATGTTTTAAGCTTTTAAGATTTTCTGTTTTTTAGCTTCTACCTTTTTGTCATTGATCGTAGCACTTATGCTACTTAGCTTATAGCTTCGTATTCGTTTATATTCAGCGTTTCTTCAGCATCATATAGCTCTTTAAAATATTGTTGCCATGTCTCCGTAGGTACTCCTTTGGTCTGCACGAGCTCGTTAACTGTTTTTTTTTTCTGTTCCGAAGCGTTTTCCATACTTTCTTTTGGGCACCATGTAGGTCGTAGTCCATGTCGCTGGTGAATTTAGTCCAATGTTCTCTTCTGATTAATTTTATTCTTGCGCTTACTTTGTTTATCACTCAGACATATTCTGCGAGAGCTTGTGTGCTTTTATATATCAGGTAGTATTTGTGTTTTAATTCAGAGAGTTCTTTTACCTCTTGACAAAACCACAGTTTGGTTTGGTTATCGCCCTCGTGTTAATTTTCCGATTTCCAATTGCTTCTTCTGCTGCTTGGTTGATGAATTTCATGGTTTTTTGCCAAGTATCTTCTACTCCCCATTCTGGTTATATCTCGATCACTTTTAGCTTGCTGGTTATCCTGTTCTCATAAAGAAGTTTTGTACTCTCTGTTGTGTTTTCGATAAGAATTGGGGGTTTTCTGTTTCGTTGCGGACGTTCTAGTAGCATCTTGCACAAAACAAGCTTGTGATCGGTCCCCAGGTTATCAGATGTTAGGGCTCTGACATCAAGTATTTTTGACGGTATTATCACTCGATTTGTGATTATTAAATCTATCATTGATCGCTTGCCTCAATGATTGTTAAAAGTGTATTTATGTTGATCTTAGTGATCTGTGATGAAAACACAAAACATAGACCAAATACGTAATAGGCTAATTTAAAAATAGCTAGATAAAAATGTAAAAATTAATAATAAGAAAGCTAATGAAGCAATATAATATAATACCCAATAAACTGCTAAAATATAGAGGCGTGGTATTGATAAACCAATAATAGGTATATACTGACAAATTCTTTGTCTAAAAAAATTAAAAATTTAAATATTGTCTAAGTAAATAACTTACTTTGTTACTTGTTGCCGAGATCCCATACTGAGGTATCGTTGAACAAAACTTTGCTGGCAACCAAGAATAGAGAGCGACATAAATAAAGTTCCAAATACTGCGGAAATTGTTGTGACACGTACTGTTGGATCCGGATCAAAACTGAAATCAAATTTAAATTAGTTGCATTGTTGTGGGATGCAACTTTTAGATCCTACATATCTCTTATAAGAAATCTTCGAAATTCTACAATTTAGATCTATTATCAGATGCCGCTACTGCATCCAAATTGAAGCTTTTTTTATCACTTCTTTTCACGAAAAATATTTTTTTTTGTCACGCTTAGAACATTTGTATCAGGCGCTTTGAAGATTCCTGCTAGAATAAAATAAGTATAAGCGAATATACAGAGACATTATACGTGAAACCAAATCTTAACTCTTCTTTCTGGTAATTATACTATGTTAATAGGATATCAGAATAAGGCAGTACCTATATAGAAAGGAAAATATTGAAAAGCGGTATTACCACCTTATATAAGTCAAAATATTTCTTATTACTAGCGATTTAAGTAAACTTTAAAATCTGAACTCGCTGAAGGTACTAGACGATATTACAGTGACAAGGAATAACTTCATTTCAAAAATAAATCAGCAGTTTACCGATGCAAATTATTACCATGTGCACTTTTTACGTAGAGTAGTATCATATAGGTAAATATATAGAAGGTAATATTTTTTTCCAATTCAAGTCTCACCAGTATCGATACGATTTTATGAATTTTCCTGATCATAATTTTGATCTATTTTTGTTATATCTATCAGGTATTGCTCCATTGACCTTTGAGTGACTTTCAGTTTCGCTATTATTGCTTTCTTTAGTGTCCAAGTTTCGCAGTTGTATGTCATAATTGGTAGTATACACTGAACGAAACCTTTGGTGAAGTGGCATATCTACCAAAAGATGCCCACGTCATTTTCATCCTTCTGTTCATTTTTGAGAGTAAGAAGGCAGATGTCTTTTTCTTCTTCTTCTTTAGCCTTTATTTATTCATTATTGGACACAGGCCTCCTCCAGTTGCTTCCACGCTTCTCTATCTTTTGCAATTATCATCCACTGCTTTCCTGCTACATCTGTTATATCGTCCATCCATCTCTTTTTGGGTCTTCCCACGCTTAGTTTTGTTTCTCGAGGTCTCCAGAATCTCACTTTATGAGACCATCTGTTGGTGTCCATTTCGGCGTTAGGAATTTTGTCTCTGATGCTTATATTTAACATGGCCCGTTGAGTAACTCTTAATTGTTCTGCCAGATGGCAAAGAGGGCAGATGTATGTATAAATTATCTTAGATATAGACACTTGTTTACTGTCTCAAGTATTGTTTATTATTACATTTTTCACAACCAACAGTTCATTGTACATGGTTTTTGTTTTTGTCAAGTTTGTCAAGTTCATTTTTAGATTATTATCAATCAGAACAACGTCGTCTGCAAATCTTAGATTGCTAAGGTATTCTCCAACAATGGATAGGCCTTTGTTCTGCCAGTGTATTCTGGTGAATATATTTTCTAGATGTGCATTGAATATCTTTGGCGATATTTTGTTTCCTTATCGAACGCCTCTGGTAATGGGAAATTCTTGATTGTTTTCATAATTTTTAACCTTAGTATTTACTTATCTGCATATGTTTGCTAAAGTCTCTATGTATGGTTTGTCAATGCATTGTTGGTCAAAGCTTCTAGTACTAGCTTTTGAAATATAGAATCGAAAGTCTTTTATAGATATATAAACGTTAACGCCAGCGGTATTCTATATTATTAGCTCTACTCATTAGTTCTAGAAGCGTATAGATAATTATAATCCAGGGTACTGAATCAACTTCTATGGCCAGCTTGCTCTCTTGGCTGTGCGGCATCTAATGCATTTGTTAATCTATTGCTGATGATCTTTGTGAATATTTTGTGTACGATTGGTAGTAGATTTGTATTTTTTGATATTTTTTTATATACTACATCATCATCAATCAGCCAATCGCGTCCACTGCTGGACATAGGCCTCCCTCAGTTCTTTCCAGTGTTCTTTTATAGTTTCTGGGCCTCCATTCCATAATACGTCTTGTCCACCGTCCATCTTGTGCTCTGGCTAAGTACCCTGCCCAGTTCCACTTAAGCGACGTGGTTCTTTCGATGACGTCTTGAACTCCTGATCTTTGCCTGATTTGTTGGTCTGTTATGTGGTCTCGAAGGCTCACGTTCAGTATTGCACGTTCCATGGCTCGTTGCGTAACTCTGAGTTTATTCGCAGATTTTTGCATGAGTGTTAAAGTCTCCGCTCCATAAGTTTGTACAGGTAAAACATATTGGTCATAGACCTTTCGCTTGTTCAAGCGAAAGGTTTATATACTACATATTATATACATATTATAAGGAAATCCTACACACACAAATATAGATAAAAAGAATAATCATAAGTTATCTGTGTAATGATGATCTACCTATCATTAAACGAATTAGCTTGAAAATATGTGTTAAAAAAATTATGTAGATGCTCTTTTCTTACTCACTTAAAGAATTCCAGTCGGCCATCCTTTTTGTTGAGTTCAACCACCCTTCCAATCCCACCGGCTTCTAAAGCACCACATATTATTATAGCTACACTTACGAGGACAGTTATCACACTTTGTAGTACATCTGCCCAAATCGCAGCCTTTAGACCACCCTGAAAATGATTTATAAATAAATATTTTACACTTATAGAAGATCAACATTACCATAAACGATCATAATTTTGAGGTGGTCAAAGAATTCAAATACCTAGGAGCAACAATTACCAGTGAAAACACAGAAGAACGAGAGGTTGAAATACGAATACTGGCGGGCAATAAATCATTATTTGCCATTCAACATCTAATGAGGTCAAAGCTTCTCTCAAGGCGTGCCAAAATTCAAATGTACAAAACCATAATACGACCAGCAGTGACATATGGAAGTGAAACATGTACATTGAGAAAGAAAGAAATCAATAAGCTATTAGTATGGGAAAGCAAAATTTTGCGAATTATATATGGTCCTTGCAGGGACAGCGTGACAAATGAATTGAGGAGCAAATACAACATTGAAATAGAGACTCTCTTCGGGGAAGGAAACATCGTAAGATACATAAAAGTCAATAGATTAAGATGGCAGGCCACTTGGTACGGAGTGATGACGACAGACTGATTAGCAATGTGTTTTGGGAAAGACCAGATGGTAGAAGATCGACAGGAAGGCTAGAAAAAGGTGGAAAAGACGCAGTCAGGGAAGACCTAGAGAAGATCGAAGTAAGGCCATGGGAAATAATAGCACAGGATCGGAATCAATGAAAGGCAATAGTAAACGCGGCAAAAACTCACGAAGAGTTGTAAAAGCCAATGATGATGATGATGACTTATAGAAGATCAAGAACAAAAGATATATTATGTTAACAAACAGACCCGTCGACTTTCAGCTATAGCGCGCGAAATTAATTTTTAAAATCATATTTGCATCTCCGTATCTGTAGACTAGGGAGGGCAAGTTAAGTTCCAGAGCACTAAGTCCACAATTGACCCATTGTGGATTCTCCAGAAAGCTATCGTGCTTATCTCATTCCCACCCTGCCATTTTTAGGAAGGTTGACAAGTCACCAGGGGACATGTTCCTTATGTGAGCAGGTGTAAGCCAGGACATGATCTATAGTTTCGTCTTATCGTTCACACTTTCTGCTTAGAGGTGTATCTACTAGCCCTAGTGTGTGTAGGCGTTTGCTAAAAATCTAACTATCAAGCGTAGGTTTTTCCTGGTCATTCCTAACTACTTCTTTGTTGCTGGCTTTTCAAGGCTACTTAGTGTTACCCTGGCTCAGTGTAAATCCTTGTCCTTCTTTCAATTTTTTTACGGTTTGCGTAAGGAAGTGTAATATTAACAAAGAAATATTAACAAAGACTAACATGACAATATACAAAACAATATATAGACCTACAGTGACATATGGAGCAGAAAATTGGATACTAAAAAGAACTGATAGAAGCAAAAATGAAGAAATAAGAGACTCAAAATCAAACAGACACTCGACTCAATCAATGACAAAAAATTGGCATGGTTAGAACATCTAACCCAGATGGACAATAATAGACCAGTAAAAAGAGTGTGGGACGCCAAACCAATAGGGACGAACAGAAGAGGAAGACCCACTAAAAAATGGAACAGTGACATCTCGCAGATACTGCAGAGTAAGGGTAAGACTTGGCAGGAAGCCACACACATGGCATGCAATAGGTAGGAATGGAGAAAGTTCGTTAAGAGCCAGGACACCTCAGAGGATTGTAAAATATTATAATTTAATGAATTGTATTAAAAATGGCCCAACACGGAAAGGTACAAATGGGTCTACTGATTAGAGTAAGTTAGTAAGTAGTTCTAAAGCAGTACAACGCTTACAAGCTCTTTTGCGTCTCGAAAAGTCTCTTAAAGATTTGAGAGATCTACAGAATAATAGAAAAACTGGTGAAATCATGCGCATTGTACTTGACCACATTTCTTTATTTCCTATCAAACAAAGGCGTTATTCATCCAAAGAATATCAATACCTAGACGCAAAGCTTAATGTAAAAATAATGCATTTCTTATTCAGGGAGAAACATGCAAAAACATCAGGGAGAAATTAATGAAGTTAATTTCAGATATTCAATATATTATACTATTTTTAAAGAGAATTTTGGCTATAAATTTGGGCGACCACAAGCCGATTCATGCTGCCAATTTGAAGAACTTAATATTAAATACACACAAGAGCTGCCTTAGCTGAACTTACAGTGCATAAAGGAGCTCTAAAAAATTTATTCATAATATTCAAAACATCGAAAAAATGTAAAAAGAAAATGATAGCGTCATTTGACTTTACTTCGATTATATGCAAGACATTTCATTACCGTCGATTCCAGTTAAAGTTATTTTTTATTTACGTCAGCTATCAGTATTTCCATTCAGTATTCATAACTTAAAAGACAACAGTGCTCAGTTTTTTCTTTGCCATGAAGGCGTGGCTAAAAAAGGTCCAAATGGAACTTGTTCTTTTCTTATGAAAAAATAAAATAAAAACAATGGTATGGTCCGATTTTGCTTTGCGCTTACTGACAGCGGAATATTTAAAAAAATATACCACAAATTTTTAATTCGTGGCCACTCTTTCTTGCCATGCTATCAGAACTTTGGCTTGGTAAAATTCAAACTCAATCACATGGATAAGCTGTATACACCAATGAAAGATTGTGAAGCAATCTGTAGTTCTGCAAAGAGGCAGAAATTTACTGTACAAAAATGGTCAGAACTAATGACGTTTTGGATTTTAGAAATTGGTGGTCTAGTGGTGGTTTAGAAAGTTTATTGATGGAGCGTTAACCAGTTCCTTTGTTCTAAAAAGTCACAACACCGAAAATGTTCAACTTCCAAAGAGGAGAGCTTATGCTATGGAAAAAATTCCAACAACATTAGAAAAATCAATGATATTCAAAAGATAACAAGGTATCTTCCCGAAAATTATCAATAATTTTATAAGGAAATAATTAATTGGCCAAACACTGAAGTGGAAAGTACTGACGTATAAGTAACTTGTAAAAAACTGCTTAATGTTAATAAAACACTGAAAACTTTGTTTTCAAAATTTCAACAATATTTTTTATTCACTCTTATCACTACAGCTGTGTCGGCTGATTGCCTTTCTCAAGTGATCTACTTTTGGCATGCGTTTACACTTTATAGTCTGATGTTAATAGTAAGTTTTTAAATAGGTTGAGGAGGGGAGAACTGTTTATCTCAAGTTTATCATTCAGAATTATGTCTCTGTTTTTGAATTTGTTGATTTGAATAGATTCTAACAAAGATAAATTAAGGCCTTTATTTTGAATATGAGTTGAAAATTCGGTAATAAAAGAATGATTACGATCTAGAAGGTGAAGTGCGTATGTAGAATCTGTTTTTGTATTATTGAACGCACTTTTATGTTCTGCTATTCGTTTATTAAAATTTCTACCAGTTTGACCGATGTAAGTTTTTGAGCGGCCGCCACATTTTAGTTTGTACACAACACTGTGTAAGCGTTTTTATTTCGGCTCTTGTTGTTTTAATAATGTACGAACTGCATTCACGAGGCACGTATACGGTTGCATCTCGAAACAGCCGTCATGCTCCATGCGCGGCATCTCGAAAGCGACCGATATTTCGAGAAAGATCAGTCGCGTACGCCTAGAGGTGGGAACTTTCTAGAAAATAGTAACTTTGTATATATATGTAACTATCTTAGAATAAGTTAGTTGATAAGAGAATACCGAACTGTAAAGTTATAAATAAATATATTTATATAAATTCGAACCGCTCGTTATATTTAAAAACGGTACAATATATATATATATATATATATATATATATATATATATATATAGTATAATATATATATATATATATATATATATATAAGTTGTTATTTGTTCTGAAAGCTGGTGTTTAATTGTTACATAAAATGTTCAGTGTTTTATTGTTACATAAAATGAATTTCCATCAAGTAACGGTTGAGTCCATCAATTGCTTAATGTTTGTTTTTTTAGGTTAAAATATTTCATTTGTTAATGACTGGTAATAAAGTTTGGTAATAAAGTGTAATAATAAAAAATTTGTTTATTAAAATTAATTCGTGAAAAGATATAAGTCAGACCAATAAAATAACAAATAAAATATCTATCAATTAAATAAAATCAATATACAAACAAAATTATTATCAAACTTATAATAAAATAATTCATTGTTCAGGAAAAATTACAAATTAATAATTTGTTTCAAATATATACACTTTTTTTAAATTTTCTCAAAACTTCATTCTTGTGACTTATATCCTTTCATAAATAAGCGATTCAAATATAACACCTTTATTAAAAATTACATAAAAGTCAAATGAGAAAATAAATTATACATGTATAATTATAATGTATTAAATTTTTCTTACCAGTATATTAAAAAACATGCTAATTAATCCTATACCACAAATTGACACCCAGTATGGAACTCCACTAATCGCTTTTAAAGCGACGCACGGAGTAAACACAGTGACTCCTTGCAATAAAAACTGTCTGAATATAAACGTTCCTGAGGCCAAACACCTCACCAACCGCGATTTAAACCGCAAGTCTAAATATTGGTAAACTGAAGTTATACCCAAGTTGTAATACATAGGTACGAATACGAAACACACTATTGGGTAAGCTAGCAGGGTTCCGTATAAAGATTCCCACATAGTAGCTCCTCTGTAAAATAGTTCTGCAGGATAACCTAAAAATACCAACAGCGATTTAGTTTTTAGGCCTTCATAGCATGGCATAATATGGTTAAACAATAAAACTATAATTTAATATTTAAAAAATTATACTATAAGTAAAATAAAACTATTTCCCATCTTAAAATTAATAAGCCACCAAACAAATCAGGTTCTTATCTGTGTGTCTAACTTGTGTAATGTGTAAGCTTTAAGAAAAAATTATATGTTTATTGTGGTGGTCCTGAAAGAAAATAACCAAACTATGAGAATGAAACAATTCTCACTTAGACCCCTTAACATTCGACTACCGACCTATATAAAAGATATAGAAAACACATCCATTAATGCCCAGCGTTTGCGTATATCCGCAACAGATTGACCATAGCCCACTATAAGCGTCAACTTTCTTAGTAAACTGATATGACTGATTTTTGGGCAGTCAAAGTACTGATAATAATATTTAACAACAAGATTTTCTATCTAATATATGTTTTTAATGGCACCTGGTCGCAAAACTTAGTTTATTATTACTAGTGATGGGATCGGTTAAAAGAAGTATGGTGTAAAGACTAATTTGTAGTTTTTTGAACACGTATTAATCAGTAAGTATGGTTTAGTTTTTGTGTATTAACCTGGACAAAAATTTGGTTTTTGGTAGCAACTAATTGTATTAAAACATTGAAAAAGAGTATGTAATCAAATAAGTGCTAGTATTTTATTAGTGCTGGTTTGTACTACTGCCCAATCACCAACGGTTGCGTTTTCACGACATTGGCCACAAGGTATATTATTAGTACACAAAATCATTTTTGATCCAGAAGGTGGAAGTAAGATGTCTAATCAGCTTGGCTCGACCAGTTTCGGTCATACTAGTAATACTAGTCGTCCAAAAAAAAATTTTTCAAATCGAAGGCACATAAAATTATGTCCATGCTTAAAGACTCTAACCTTATGGAGTCACCTTTCAGTGCAGATCTCTTCCTAGCACCTGTACTGAATTGACTGATGCAGATAGTGGAGATGAAGACTGGGAGGAAACATTCAATAAGCTAAACAAAAATATGTTGGAGGTAGAATCAGAAGCTAGTATATTCATCAACAAGATGAAAAAGGAAGTATCGACGAAGAAAATATAAATCTATATAAAAAGGGGCAGACCTTTAAAGTATGACACAAGTTCAGGAAGAGATTGATGATGGAAACAGAAATAGAGACACGAAATAGAAAAAATCAAGATATTTAAGTGGCATTTACTGAGATTCGTGCAAAAAGTGTAATTCTCCTATTACGGATGGATTTTAGGGAGATTTAGTAAATAAAAATTCCCTTTATTTGGTTATTAAACAGAAAATAACTCATGGCACACATATACACATCTAGTATATGCCTAGGCTGTGGGTGAAAAAGTACTTTCTAATCCCGGGAATTATGTAATGTAGAGGGCTAATTTTTGTTTCATTTGCTTCCTAAAGCCTAAGGCTTCCTGAGGTTGCCCTTTATAACCTAGGCCAAATAACATAAATTCATGGATTACAGTGTAAAATCACATTTTTTTTCACAGCATGAGCTATATACCAGATTCTTGATTTTTTTTAATGAAGAGCTTTCTAACAAATATATTGAATATAAGACAGTTCGTTATGCTCTTCATCAAGGTAATAACATTAGAATTTGGAGGGATTTTGGAGGGAAGAGGGATTTATTAGTTAGTGGGTACTAATTTCAAGTTAAATGCATCGTAATTGATATTGAAAACATTATAACATTCCTCCATTTTAACGATAACCTAATCACAGATCGTTCAGACAATACACACAAAATTTCTCCGTAGGTACCTTGAAAGTCTTCGCAAATAATTTACTGAATACACTGTATGAAAACCGAATCTAGCTTGGAAGAGGCCATGATACCAACTTGAGGCGTCATGATACGGAAAAAACATATAAAAGGGCAAGCCAATACGCTTTTGATATAAATCGTGGCGTGTTGGGAATACGGAAACCTGGATAATCCGATGCATACAACTTTCCACACTTCGCCAAAGGGAAGATAACAATGGCTAAACAGAAAAAGAACTTTCGGCCATAGAAGAGCGTACAAACTAAAATTTGCAGTTTGTCACCAACTTATTACCTAACATAGCCTTCACATGCGCGATCGGCGTATAGCATCATCTGCTTATACATTCCGTAAATAATAGTTTCACCCTCTATAAACATTAATCGTCATTTGTTTAGGATCAAAAAGGGAATAAGGTTAACGTAAGGCAATCATCACGATCAAGTAGGAACAGAAAACGTGTCCCATGCACGTGAAAATATTTAAAAAAATCCTATTCGTGGGAATTTCCCACAGAAAATTGGTTACGACGAGAAGAAATAATAGCAATCAAATTTTCCATAGAACGACGGCAGTTTATTCAAGCGAACAGATACTCCATTTGGTCAAAGAAAAGAATATCAAAGTAACACCAACCACAAATTCGGTACTTATAACGAAGGATTATGGGGAGGAACTGGATCGGTATGGTTAAAAAATGTTACCTTAATACAAAAGAGAATATAACATCAAGAGAAATAGTATTGACCATTATGTTATCTTTGATCTTTGATGTACTCCATTATGAACTGTTTGGTTAATTTACCGGTCGAACTAAAGACCATTTTTATCCCTAAAACAAAAGAAAATAATTTCGATTTACAGTTTCGACCGAAATAATAGTCCCAAAACCTAATTGACTGATGTTCGGCACTCTTTCCAAGAAGACCTTGGTCCATCTCAATCTTCCATAAACAACCCTTATATAAGATGTGTTGATTCGACAACATTAGCCGATCTTATTAGCTAGCGATATCTAGGAAAAGAACCGAAATGCGTCCTTTGTCACTGAACAAATCAATAAAAAAGTGACATTAAATGTAAACCTTATATGAAAAATGGTTTTATTAAATTTCATAGTAATTGGCAATATATTTTTTTTATATTATTTTAGTGTGAGTTTATTAAAAAACTCTTTATGATATGATTTACACAAAACATTCCATACAACACGCGCTCGCGGTAAAAAAAATTACAATCGTAACTGCCCAGTGTTTGCGTTTTGTTTGCAATAACCAAATATCAAAAAAAAAATTTTCAAATTTTTTTTTTCATTACAAAAAAAAATTTTATTCAAATTTTTTTTTCAAAAAAAAACGGTTTTCATTTTTTATAAATATATTTTTTATGTTAGGTTTGTAACTATTGAGAAACATAAATTTTTCAGAAAATTAAAAAAAAAAAACATAAATAGTTCTAGACACTAAATGGGTTTAATACTGCCATTCCAACAACTTGCCTACAACAACTTGGCCTGCAACAGCCAAAAAGTATTGCAATATACTTTGAATTTGCACAAAGCAATTTTGACTGGGTGAATGGCTTGGTAACACAAGATAAATATCAACACACACGCCGAAATCACGGAGGCTATCACGGAAATATAATTAATTTTATATAAAAATATATTTCGAAATAGAAATTTTTAAAGGTAAAATAAACAGGTTTTCCTATTCTCTATCAACGTGAGGTAATCAAAAAAAAAAACAGGCACACCATCAAGGCGCAGTAATCAACCTGATGCTCTTTTATTATAGATAATGTACGTTGGTACAATACGTGTACGTATGCGTAAAGTCTATTGAAGCAACGAATTGTAAGTGGATAATCTTAAGTATTTCTTAAAGGGAAACTAATATACAGAGGATGGTCAAAATTTACTACAAGGATCAACTCGACAAATTTATAGCAAGGTCAAAATGGAGTGGTTTTCAATTTGCTTTAGAGTTAAAGACTACCTAGCATCATGTTCTTAAAGAAACCAAAGGAGACAAAGGCAATAGCGCGTACTTTAAAAACTTGAGGGGCAGCACACTTGAATAAATAAAAACAATAAATATACTTACATACATTCTAATAATGCATAGCCATCATTTTCTATTCTAAATAACATTATTGCCGTTAATAAAGCAGGTTAAAGTTTAAGCATGATACGCTGACCAAAAACACCTGCAATAGGAGAGGAATGTATGACAACTCTTTCTTTCCTTATATTAAATGAATATATAAACGATAAGTCATACTTTCCTTTGAGTTTTCGTGAAACACATGGTCTGCCAAGACACGAT